GTAACAGACGTCTGGAGTTTTGCGAGGCTGTAAGAGAAAGAGCCGATCGGAATAATTTATTTTTGGAAAATATATTATTCTCAGATGAAAGTTCGTTTCCCTTACATGGCTACCACAATCCTCGATAGTACGTTATTGGTCTCGAGAAAATAAGCACCTTAGTATGGCACTGCGGACACAATATCCACAAAAACTAAATGTTTGGGCTGGCATGCTGCAAAATCATATCATTGGGCCTTTTTTTATTGATGGTATGTTAACAGCTGCCAAATATTTGGATATGCTACAAAACCAAATTGTACCAGCAGTTCGAAATTTGCCAATCAATTTTGAGGAAGTGTGGTTTCAGCAGGATGGCTGTCCTGCGCATAACGCGCGGAACGTAAATCTGTTCCTTCAAACCACATTTCCCAATCGGCTAATTTCCACACAAGGCACAATTAATTGGCCACCACGTTCTCCTGATTTGTCGCCCAATGACTTCTTTCTGTGGGGATATGTAAAAAACTCCATTTATGGCCATAACCATGAACGACCCATGAATATTGACGAGCTGCGATTAAAAATCGTTCAGTCGTTAGAAAATATCCCCGCTGTTATGTTAGCTAAAGTTAGGTCAGAGTTTTATAACCGTCTTGGCTATTGCGAAGCACAACAGGGAGGTATTTTTGAACCTTTGATTTAATTTTTTATAATTATTTTGCTAATTGTCCTTTTTTAAAGTTGATTTTTAGTCATTTTTTTAATGCTTGTTTTAACTTATGCTGAAACAGCAACAAAAACATGAGCAGTATAGATACAACCGGACGTTTAATTATTTTTATTGTTAAAAGATTAAACGTCTCGAGATGTATGGATAACCTTCAAAATCGTAAATATATTGTAGAATGATGTACACCCAACCCCTTTCAAAATCCAACTGATTTGATTTCTGTCTACCGTTCTAGGACTTCGATACTGTCAGTGTTGCCAGATGAAGTTTTGAAAATTTCCTGAAGCCTGGTTGGCACGGTCAACCAACAAAAAATATTCTTTTAAAATATTTATCTGATGATACTTTTAGAAATGCCAAGTTTGAGAAAACAAATTAAATACACACACTAAATTGTGTCCAAAAATATGCTTTCTAAAAAGGTATTTCCTGGATAGAAACCTTAATGTTAGGGAATATTTCCTAGACCTGGCATCTACGGCCATATTCTCTCCCACCACTTGATTTGTCTCACCCCGCCTCTCGAAATGTGGAAGCCATGCATATCTCTTCGCACGTGTTGCCACCAAACCAAACCAAACTCTTGAGTCATAGGCGTACTAATATTTTATTTTCATTTAGATTTAGTATTACAGCCAATTTTAGTTTAAAAGTTTTGCTTATGAATTCTGTAAAATTTAATTTATTAGAATTTTAATAATAATCTTTTTATGACAGCTGACAATGTTTAAGATGCAAACAGTGGAACAACGCCTTCACCACGCTGCTTCTTAAGCCCCATACATACTCAATATAAAAAAAACTCATCGACATGATCAAAAAGTTTTATGATCAAGCGGGTTTTGTATCATAAATAAAAACAGATAAACAATTTTTATGTAAAACGACCTTTAAAATTAACATTATAAACATTATGTAACTGTTAAGTGGCATCGTTTTTATGATTCTAATTGTGCTACACTTTAAGGGGTGTGAAATAAATTACTTATTTATAATAATACTGAATTTATGCGGGGTGGTATAACTAGTGTTATAACGGTTGTAGCTATAGTATTACGGGCAACCAACGGTCCAGCTACGTCGAAACACCGGTTCCCATTAGAACACCGAAGTTAAGCGACGTAAGGCGATACTAGTGGATAGACGGGTGACCAGTTCGAAACTCTGTATCGTGCTGTTGTCCAATAAAGGCAAAAGTGTAAAATATTTTGACACACACTGCTCATTCACGCCGGTTCAAGGCCGGATGAGATCGGATATCTCGTGAGTAAGAGTCGATTTAGACACTTGCTCGGTCATTGACCGAGGACCGCTGTTCGGATTCCGCGTAAACAAAGTAGGCCCCGTCCAAATTAGCCCTGGCAGCAAAAAGGAGATGTTAACTTCAAATCTTTTACTTTACTTTATAGTATTACATTATAACATTATCATGTCATAATATTATGAAATAATATTTCCTACTACCAATTTTTTTAATATTGGTACAGCAAACTTATCAGTATAAAGTTTTACTTATCTTTATCCTTTTTATTGCTATTTATAATTCTGAATACGAGGATAAGAAATTTTAGTTTTCAGTACGCCTATGACCGAAAGCGAACGTCTACCTCCCGCTTCATCAGCGGCCATAATTGGATGGAATCAGGGATGAGTAAATATAAAGGACCATAAAATTAATAAATTTTGCTGGTCTGCTGCAACACGTAAGAAATATTTATTGATGGATCAGTATGACAGAGAAGTAATAAAAAGGCCGTTTTTATGAATAACAAAATGGTATTTGAACATCATAATATAATCATATTGAATTGACAATAGATTAATTTATCAGCTATCCGCAGAAAATTGACAATAATAATAAAAACATGACACATGGCAATTAATATAATTCCAAATTAAAAATGGATAAGAGTTTTCATTCATAATAGTAATACAGATATATTTCAAAGAACTTTACTTAAAATTAAGTTTTTTAATTTTGTACTAGTTTATAGCACTTGGTGGTATAACTTGACAAAATAATATCAATCATTAAATAAAGCATAAACGAACCAATAAATAAACAAAAAGGTTAATTTATTTAATAAAACGTACAACGTACGGCTTTGTATGCCGATTGTCGTGTGTATGAAGAATAAAGTCAACGTTTGTTCAGTACAATACGATATACTGAAAGAGAAAAGACTATAAAATACGGGAGAAAAATGAGAAGTTTATTACCTATCCACTTAATCCGGATCGGTCGACAATAGAATTTTGATATTTACAACATTATGTAATTAATTGATTATCGGTCCTATTATGTAACTGAGGATGTACGTAACTAAGTAATAGAGCATATTTTTTGGTTAGTTTATTTAATGAAGCGTACACGGCTTTGGTTGCTGATTCTCGTGTGTCAACGTGTTCAGTACAATACGATATATATTGAGAGATGCTGATGCACTATTACGTAGACACGTACATCCTTAGTTGCATAATAAGACAGATAATCTATTAATTCCAAAACGTACTAAAAGCGCAAATTCTGTTGTTGAACAATGTAATCAGTATGATTACAGATTAAATAATTATGGAGGTGCATATGAAACATTAAACGATTCATCATTGTGTTAAGTTATACCACGTAATTTAACAAAAAAAGATCAATCATTTAATGTCTCACTTCACACTGGCTCACTCCATTATTATTTAATACTGATTAGAATGGTCGACAATAGAATTTGCAGCATTTACTACGTAATACAGCATATTTTTGGTTAGTTTATTTAATGATATAACCGATAATGTACACACGGCTTTGGGTGCCGATTGTCGTGCACAGAGTCTATAGACTCTGTGATTGTATAAATGAACAAAGAGAAAAGAGCAAGAATTTTCCCAAGCGTATGAAGTTGAGCTCCGGATTAAGTGGATAGGTAATAATTTTCTCTCCCCGACTTACAAGATTGCCATAGCGATTCACTTCTAGACATGTAGGTAAATGATGACTAAAATAAACGACCCAAGATTTTCTCTTGCCGACCAGTATATTATCGTAGTCTTAAAGAAATTAGAATAAAATAAACTATGTTAAAAATGTTCATGTATACTACTGAAATGAAGATAATATATTTAAGCTAAATGTAATCTATTACAGTTGTAGTAAAATGAGTAACTAATTGTTGAAAATCCAGATCCAACCCTAGATGCCACATTTTTTTGAAACGTCTACTTATGCGGTTTGAAATTTTGATGCAAAATCTGGCAATACCGCTCAGAAGAAATGTTCCCACCCATACCCACCCAACTTTTTTCTCTTTTTAATACATTTGATTTGCCATTAAGCTGCCTACATCACTGTCTTACACGTTAAAATCCTATACACAGAGTTGACCTGTCCCGATGTGTATAAAAAGAAGCACAGGTCACTAATTATAATAAATTTCACCCTTGGAATTACTTCCACTAATTATAATAAACTTCACCCTTGGAATTACTTCTATCACAATTACAATACATTCATCTGCATTGGCATTTTCTACTTTTTTCGATGGGAAATAATCAACTTCCCAACATTTTTTAAATGATGTAACAATTCCTCGTGGTTACTTTTCTATAGATATCCTCATCTATGTCCTCATGGGAATTCAGAGACAATGAACATGACAATTATTTACCATAAACATCGCAAACTAAAAACCTAATAAACAATTTTATACCGAATATAAAAATAAATTTAGTATTCTTACCTATTATCGTCCAAATCCATGTTAATAGATAATTAATATTTTGGATTTTTGTCTTTTATTTTTAAATATATTTTTGGAACTGCTGGGTTTAGTAATTATTAAATTAAACGAACTAAAAAGTCTTAAAAATAAACAATTCTTATCCATAACCCCAAAAAATGCAGATCTCCTGTCAACTTTCTTTATTTTTTATTTATTCCTTATTTTCCTAGTGACGTCACAGGTGGTATGCGCGAACTGAACGAAATTGGAGCTGCTATCGATCATACCTTGTTTTCTTTATACCATGAGTAAGCTGTGTCGAGGCTTCGCTCAGTCGTCGACCTCAACTGTTACTCTGACTGCCAAGAACACGGCGCGGCAGGTCAAGCGCGGGTACGCGAAAATTAGCGGAGTTAACTAGCTTTTTATGAGTGTATTAAGCTGTGATAAAGATACCATCTATATTCCCTTGACCTTTATTTTCCCTCTTATTGACCCTTGATCAGTCATCTGTATTCCCTTGATTGTTTTATGATTGTATTTGGTAAACGAAATTGAAACCTATTTCTTTTTAGATGTTCGATTGGATCTGTCACAACAGGGACGTGTTCCTGTTGAACTACGTCGAAATAGGCCATACGTACCAACTCGCCAAACAATTGCAAGAAGAACATCAGCATTTCACGATGTCCTCGATGAACGTCTACGTTAACATCAACCGGATCCTTAGTGTGGCCAGTCGACTGATAGAGGGCGGACACTACGCCGCGCCGCACATACGATCAGTGGCGGGTCGTCTGGACAGGACTTGGAAAGATTTTGCCGCGGGGTGTGTAACAAATTTATTAATAGCTAAATATATGTGATTAACGAAAAAATGCAAATGAACAGTTTGTATGAAGCTTTGACACGCTTGAAAGTATCTCTTTAGATCTAGAACCTCACAGTGACATATTTTGTGCTCCGCTGTTTCAGGATTTTTATCGCAGATTCTACTGCAAAGACTTCCTTGATACAGGCTGAGGTTGTTCCGTTAGAACTTTATAACCATATGTCCTGCCAAGCGATCTGTTATAATCCGCAGTTTATTCCTGCTAAACATTAGCTGATCCTTGACTCTCCCATATGCCTCTAATTGCCTGTAATTTGAGACTTGTTGAATTAATTTTAAATTATTAGCATCTATACAATGATCTTTATCAACCATTTGTTGAGCAACGCAAGATTTATCTGGTCTACCATATCGTATCTGAGCCATATATTTTATAATCTAGTTAATATTGATCTTCCAGTTTGCTCAACATATTTCTGATTACAATCTTTACAGGAAATTCATAAATACCCTGCTAAACATTAGCTGATCCTTGACTCTCCCATATGCCTCTAATTGCCTGTAATTTGAGACTTGTTGAATTAATTTTAAATTATTAGCATCTATACAATGATCTTTATCAACCATTTGTTGAGCAACGCAAGATTTATCTGGTCTACCATATCGTATCTGAGCCATATATTTTTTAAATCTAGTTAATATTGATCTTCCAGTTTGCTCAACATATTTCTGATTACAATCTTTACAGGAAATTCATAAATACCCAACTTTTTAGTGGAGGTGTTTCATCTTTACCTAATAATTGTTGTAAATTATTATCCCATCAAAAACATAGAGTAAAAAATTGCCGTTTTAATATAATATTAGACATCTTTATTTCTGTAATAATTATGATGACTTGGCAATTGCACAATATGGTATTCTCTGGTAATTATGAAACTTTATTCTTAAGGGCACTGTGTAGATTTACTTAGTAATCGAAACGGTAGATTATTCTTAAGTCATTATAATTATTACACAAATTAGAGATGAGCGATATCATAATTTTTTAATCACACTGTTCTTTGTTACTGTGATTTTTTAATATCAGTGATTTTTAAATCTGATGTGATTACAGTTTCAATAACAATAACAAGTCTTGTCGCTCCGTCTCCGTTGCCCCGTTCCCAGTTAAGGCGTAATACTCACGTATACTTATACTTTTTTTAGACTTGAGACAAACAAGTTTGGGTTTGATTCATTTATCCAGTATTCAGTCAACACAGATCAAAATATAATATCTATTCTTATCAGCTTAATATCGCTACCGCTATTTTTCAAAATTAATAGGAAAGTATAAATAAAACAAAATTCCGATTTTCAGTATTTCATTGTTACCGCCAGCGATATACGCAGACGCGAGCAAAAGGCAAATAAACCTAAATATGCGTCTTCTTTGTCACTCTTACTAAACATAATATAGAAAGCTATATTCTAACCTCAAAAATAAATAATTTTATTGCAGTGATCTCAAAGATTTAGCCCAGTATTCGTACGATACGTACTTAAAACGTTAAAACATTAATTATTGTAGAATATATTAATATCAAATTTACATCAACAACTTCAAGATTGACGACGTACCTAAAATGTACCATCACCGTTTATAGTTCTAAAAAAAGCGATATTAAACGAAAGCGAGGCGGTAATCGGTATTTCCATTTTGTTTATGTTATATTAAACATACTTAAGGGATAAACAAGTCTGTGGACTTTTTGCTCGTTTGCATAGTGTGAAAATCACACATCAATTCACGCTTTCTTCGCAAAAAAGGTACCGATCGTGATATGTGATTTTTAAATATCAGTGAAAAAATCACAGTTCGTGAAATATCGCTCATCTCTAACACAAATAAAGATGTCTAATATTGATACTAACAATTTGTAACAAAATTCTTGAATAGGTGCTTAAAAAGAAACTAAATAAAATAAACAAATTCATAATCCTTGAATTATTGTTGTTATATTCATATACAAATAAAATCAGAAGAAACCGCTTCGATTAATTTTAGTTTACTACCTTTTTCTCGCCTGGAAAGTCAGTTACCGGTAGCGGCTAGACAGCTAACATTTAATCCATTTTTGAGATATTTCATTTTTTCATTTGGTTATAAGCTTAAAGCTACCTAAAATTTAGAATTTGAAGTTTGTGACACATCTAGAAGTACCGTATGATCAAAAATAAACGGCGTCCAGTTGGCTGGGAAATGACAATCGATGACATTTCCCATATAAATTTACATATAAAATGACAGCGATCTTCATTTCATAGCCATCGCTGACGCCGTTTTTTCTCGATCATACGGTACCTTAGAATTTTGATGATGTGTCAGTGAGTCAATGTCGAAATTAAAGAAATTTGACAAACGATAATTCATAAACTATGAGGTATAATTACTAGATATTTTGGTAATCGAGCCAGCTATAGTATGTCCTCATGTTTAGTTAAAATGAATATTCTTGCTTTATCCACAACGAATTTACAGGGTGGTCAAAAGTGCCGCTAATGCCTTTGAGAAAAGGATGATACGGGTGTGCTCGACAGATTTGCTATTCACAAGTTTATAATTGACATTCTTGAAAATTCTTATTAAACCATGGGATAACTCTCTCAAACGGTATGGACGTATCTTTTTCCCCTTGGAAAGTCGAATCCGCTGAAATCGCAGACTTTACCTACGTTTTCAAATTATTTTATAAATTAACAAAGGAGAATATTCATTACACTCAGCTAGTATATAGCTATTTCTACTATATCTAGTTTTTTTTATTATCCCAAACGATTCATTGGTTAATGTATATTAAATATATGTTTTGTTTGTATTCTAGACTAGATGAAAGGACCGCAGTGCTAGCCCTTTCCGTAATATTCCATCACAAAGCCGAACAGTACGTGGAAAACGTTCCAGGCTGGAAGAACGCCAGCGAAAACATTAACTTGCCATCGGAAATTATGCTGTTGGAAAACGCCATACACCAACATCAGAATTTATACGAGTCCATGTGCCAAGCCTACACAGAAGTAAGTTCAGGATCTACTTTCCAAAAATCCTTTGATATTAAAGCCAATTCCTTTGAAATACTTGTTTATATTTTAATATTCCGTTCAATATAGGTTTATAATTCTTATCAATCCTTGCTGAATGGTTTGGATGTGATGCTCCAAGTGTGCCATAACTTGCCTAGCGCAGAGGAAGTTGAAAAAGAAGACAAAATAATAAATGTACGACACATATTTTTTTTCTTAACTTTTTAGGTGTTGTCTTTCTAACTACTAAATGGTTTTGGGTCAGTAATAGAAGCATTATAGGAGCAGCAGTAACGTCTTCATTCATGTTATGTGAAAAACAATAAAACAATCTTAACCAAAAAACGTATTTCTCCGATTCTGTTTTGTATTTTATTTTCCTTATTGGTCAAATATAATTAGAATTTTAAAATTGATGCTATTTTCTAGTTAAAATAACTGATTTAAGTGATTGATGTGATGATCTGTGTATCTATTTTGTCTGACTATATTTGGCCAATGAAAATCCATCCTAATATAGTGTTCTTTTAATTAATATTTCTTATTCTTTTTATACATAATGGTGATGGTGTATCTGTATGATCTTTCTTTGGTGGTAGGTCCATAGCACTAGCAAGAAACTCCTTTACCAATTAGATCACTTGGTGCAGGTTTGCAACCAGCCAGGAACGGACAAAAAACATGTAAATATTCTATTTTAGTTATCTCTAAATTGCTTTTAAAATTTTACTCTTTTTATTATTAGTTTAGAATTGTACACAGAATAATATAGAAAACATTGAGCATAATAAATATATTAAATAATATTATACTTGGTCATTTTAAATCAGTGGTCTGTATTTTAAAGACTAGGACAAAGATACATAGGTAGTGGTAGAAGTAAATATTGAATACAGCACCAACGGGGAACGCGAAATATGTGGAGATATTAGGACTGTAAAAAAGTTGCTAATCAATTGGGGACATATTAACGGTAAAACCCTTGCTTTAATCATATTTTCACAACGTTTTATTGGTCGATTATAAATTCTTAATAAAATGTTAAAACCGCATAAAAGCAATATATCAGTTCACTGTTTGTCTCCTTTTAACAGGTTTGGAGATCCATTAGGATATCTCCATCATTATGATGTATGTTAAAATCCAGACACTGATTTAGGAAGACCAGATCTGTATAGGAAGCATTCCATTTTAGCTAGCAGAAATTGCTTTTAGAATTTACTTCTTATTATTAGTTGAGAAATTTATGCATAAGAATATAGATAACACTAAGCCATAATAAATATAGTCTGTCCAACGAGATGATCCCTGATGATAGTGATAGTTGTGTCTATCATTTTAAATCACAGGAAAGTTGTATTTTCATTTTTGGGATGTCATCTGTCGAAATCTTCCCTGAGTCGTCGGACAGAAAATATAATCTATAAATCCAAACAATCAAAAATGCAAAACGTATACTAAAGGCTAGCAAAGGTTAGTCTTGGGTGGAGATTTCCGAATGTAAGAAGAGTACAATACTTTTATAATGTATTGAACACGATACACATAAACGTGTTTACGTGTATCGTGGTACTGAACAAAGAGAACAGTAAACACGTTGCCAAATGTATGAAATAAACTGAGAAACTGTTCACATTGCTAAGAGACGTGGAAAGGGATATAGCAGATTCGTCGCGGTCGACCGGTCGACCCAATCAGTAACCCTATCGACCCTAACCTAACCTCTGTGAATACTTAAAATTCTAGGGAAAGGTGTACATCATGCGTTCAGCTTTACGATTTAATTACGTCTCGTGATATATTTGTTTATTAACGAGTCGTAATTTTCCCTATAGCTTGTGAATTTTTAAGTGAAAGTTAGAAACACTTGCATTTTGGTAAAAATAAGTAGAATTGAGTTGGTGCTCGACAGTGATCGCGCTATTATAACTCTGAATTCAAAAATCGATATCTCGAAATTCATTAGAAATAATTAGTTGTAGTTTTTTTCAAAAACTTTCTTAATATTTCTGCTACATTTTCTTCGCAGACAGTATGTGAAAATCTTTATGAATAAAAAAGTTACACGATTGCTGAAAATTGCTCTGCACTAAAAGTAAATGGATGGATTTTTTTTTTTAATTTTTGCATGGAAAAAAGCCTATCGACGTAGTTTTCTTTTTTCTAAATAAAAGTCTTTTAAAAATAAGCGGTTTGCGATCGTGATTTTACTTTACTTGATAGGGAAATGCGTACCGGAGAAATGTGGCAACGCCGCCACAGCACACCGTCGCATTTCTGTCACTCCAACTTAATAAGATCTTAACGCGATTTACTACCACATATACCGACCCAAAAGTAAGCCAGCACGGTAGAACCTTTTGCTTAACCGCAGTAGCGTAGTTTGGTTTATTTCTAGAAAAAAAATCAAAGGACTCATAGCTACAGAGCCATACATTACTAATATTTAGAGATGATTCAGCAATTGAAAAACATTTAAAAAAATAACGAGTCATAAATATACAGATATAATTTAAGAAAATTCATATTTCAAAAAAATGCTGAGTGTTAAATTCTATTTATATTAATAAATAGAGGTAAAGTCTCTTCAGCGAAAGGTTACATGATAGTGACGGTTGTGTCTCATATTAATTCATAGGTAAATTGTATTTTCTCTCATTTTCTTAATGTCGTTTATAAAAATCTTCCCAGGCTCGTTGGACAGACAATGTAACCTATAATCCAAACAATCAAATATATACATAAAAAGTTGAAAATGTAGTAAAGAGATAAAGTATGCCCAATGGGAGGATATACCATCCTGGACACTTCATCTGCGTAGTCTGTATTTTAATGCATGCGACAGAGATGAAACAGAACCAGACAAAATAAAAAGCGGCGTACAGTGTTGTTGGTTTTCACGTGTGTAGAAAAAAATAAACTGTTTTAAAAACTTTTATCTATACTATTGAAATGAAGATAATATATCTAAATATAATCTATTACAGGAAAATGAGTAACTAATTATGCAAAATAAAGTTTCAACCCTAGATACAATATCTTTCGTATACGCCTACTTGTAAATTTTGATGCAAAATCCGGCAATACAGCATAGAAGAAATGTATCACCCTAACTTTTATCTCTTTTTAATACATTTGATTTTTCATTAAGCTTTCTACATCCCTGTCTTATAGGTTAAAATCCAGACCACGCTGTTACTATGATCAGATCGGTATATGATACCGAATAATAAAGTCTGTGTTTTAATTAGCCTAATCATTTAGCCTGTGTTTAGGACTCGGTATTCTCAACAGATTGAGTTGATTACATAAAAATTCCTACAAAATGGACATCGTTTTTTTCCTTACACTTCAAATATGGATGATTCTTGATTTTTTTATCCCAACATATAGAAAACGGTTTATTCTTGAGATTCAAACTTTATCATACAACCGCAAGAAACCGTAAGAATATGCTTTTTTACAATAGACGTTCAGAGGGTTATCTATGATTTTATGCATATGAAAATTTCCTACTAACATATTGCACAAATATTGTTCAACTACTGATATTCTAATTCTTGAATATTGTTATGTAGGGTGATGGTCCTAACTTTGAAAATCGGCCTGGTGGTAATCCAGCCGCAGACTACAGCGAAGGAGCCAGTCACGTCCTGGCTGTGATCCATCAAATATTGAACCATCACAGGGCCTTGGAACAAAAATGGCACGCGAAAAAGATCAAGCTCCATCAGAGATTAGCGTTGAGGTTGTTCCAAGAAGACGTCAAACAAGTAAGAATAAATACGTTATTAATATACTGTATGATAGAAAGAGAAACGTTATCGATCATTATTTCCAAGCTAACTGGGCGCTAGCTTGGAAATAATGATCGATGACATTCCCCATATAATTTTACATATAAAATTACAGCAATCTTCATTTTATAGTCATCGCTGACGTCGTTTTTTTATCATATTGTACTTAAGTTCATAAGTTTATTAAAGTATAAATGATAAAGTAACAAAATGCAATAGATAAAACAGGACCGACTTTAATTAAAATTAATTGAAAGTACAAAAACAGAAAGGTTAAAGAGTAAAATTAAAATTATTTCCTAGTAAAATGTCACTGGACTATCCACTGCTTTGACTGTTTCTTTATTCAAAAATAAATTTCTTTTTAGAGGGATATCTCCTGCCTCGGCGGAAGAAAAGAAATATGTTTTCTTTTTAATCCTTAATATTCACTATACCAGGTGTCAAATGTCGATAGGTACTAGAAAAATATTTTAAATAATTTTCTTCGACTAGCGAGACATACACAATGCTTTGATCCAATTTATTTTCTGTAAATTCGTTATCTCTGTATAACTGAAATGGCAATAATGCACCAACCGCGAAGATAACATTTGTTTTTTTTTCTCAGGTTTTGGACTGGCTATCAAACCATGGAGAAGTGTTTATCAGGAAAAATACAGGGATTGGCAGAAATCTCCAGAAAGCCAGGGTGTACCAGAAAAGCCACGAACATTTCGAAAATGTAGCTCAGGTAAGTGCTTGCATGATTTCAGAGTATAATCTAAAATGAAAATAACTGAAAGTGATGGCGATGATATAGCCTGTACTAGAGTTCACCGATTATATGTGTATTCTGCTCACTATTCGCGTCTTTGTCTTATACATATAAACAGCAAAAATTACAAGTGCTCGTAAAGTTTTTTATGCATTTTTATTGTCGTGTTTCAAAACAACATCATACTTTAACGTGAATGGAGTAAGGGAATATCGTTGGACAGTAGACACTCTACTATTATAGTGATAAATTCAAATGATTTAAACATGTTTAAAATTCTATTTTATGCCTGTGAGTTAATTTTCCTTCTCGTTGATTTCTTCTCATTTTCCTTCTCATACCATATGTGTTCTTATGTCCAACACTATGAGAAGACTCTTAAGGAATATATCTGTGTGTTGTATTTTTTTCTGTAGATATCAAATTCCAAGCCAATTATTAGTATTTCTAATATTTAATACATCTAGAAATGGTAATCTGTCGTTGTTCTCAATTCCATAGGTAAATTTAATGGAAGGAAAACGATTATTTAATTTAGAAATAAAGTCTATGGTATCAGAATGTTTGTCAAAAACGACAAAATTGTAGATATTAGTTTAGTTTTAATCATCTGTGATGATGCTTCAAGTGCTATTAGAGAAACGCGCGTCCAGTGCAAAAGTAAAGTGTTTTTGGTGTGAATTAGTGTTTTATTTTGCTGTACTCAGTAACATTTTTTTTTCCATTTACTGTAAAATTTTTGGTAGTTATCATATTATCAATAATTATACAGGGTGTTTCAAAAAACATGTGCCATCTCTCGTGGGGAGATTCCTCACGTAAAAATAAGATTTATTTTTCATATCAATATAGCTATGGGTCCGATTCTACTTTGTTTCATAGCTACAGGGTGTTAAAATCTTAATAATCTTTCGATTTATTATAATTTTCTTTCAAGTACTTTTAGTGATTCGAATGAAATTTTGAGGGTAAGAGTTACTATAAGTGTTTTAAGTTACTATATATTTTAATGCTAAAAAAGTGTCGATAAATTCATCAGGGACGTGCATATGGGTTATCACTGGAATATTTTTCAAAATAAACATGTGCGTCACTGACTTATTTTCTTTTGATATCAAAATTGTGTAGGTCGTTTATTAATGCCAATTAAAAGTTATCTCTTATATTTTGTTGAATTCGGCCTCTTTGATGATAAATGCAATTTTATTAATCACCTAATTTTAAAAAATTAGGTGATTTTAAAAACTAATTTAAAAAACTATGCATTTCCATACCCATGTTTAAAGGATTTTTTTTCATATTTTTTTGATGAAGAATCAATGACTACTTATTTAAAGTTTTATATTAAATTTTTTAAAAGCTGCTAGGTATTAGACTTGGATCAAGTTAAATCAATAAAATTGCATTTATCTCATCAAGGAGGCCAAAATCGATAAAATATCAAGAAACTTTTAATCGGCATTAAACTGTTTAAACTATTTCGCTAACAAGACAAAAAATAGTCAGTGGCGTACATGCTTTTTTAGAAAAATATTGTGATAACCCATGTGCATGTCCCTGGTGAATATGTCGACACTTTTTTAGCTTTAAAATATGTCGTATTTATAGTAACTTTTACCGTCAAAATTTCATTCGAAATGCGAAAAGTACTTTTTTACGAAAATTAAAAATTATAATAAATCGAAAAAATATTATGATTTGAACACCCTGCAGCTACGAAACAAAGCGGAATCGGACCTATGTTGATATAAAAAATTAATCTTATTTTTACCTGAGGAATCTCCCCACGAGAGATGGCACATGTTTTTTGAAACACCCTGTATATCATGATTATGTTAAAAAGTACCGATTCTCATTTTATATGAACTATAATGTCTGATACAAAGAAATAATTGAAAATTTGGTTTGGAAGTAATTCAACTCTCAATTAAAAAGCCTTTTTCTGAACAACTTTATTTCGTTTTTAACAACACTATTTCCCAGCCTACTCCGAAATCGCCCGATATTTTTCACGAGCCGTTTCCTCAATTCATTACAAGACGTAAACAAGGCCCGTTGTGAAAAATTTAGGGAGCATTAGGAGAGAGAGGGTCGAAAATGGAAACATTTAAGGGTGCCATTCATCTTAAATTGAAGGGAGGCGAGCTCCCAGGTCCTTGCGATGGTTAATTCAGCGTATTTTCTTTGGCTGGCCTCGTATGTAAGCGTACGCGGTTTAAATAGGTTCGTTAAATAAGAATTTTTTCGGCTTTATGTTTTTTTAATGAGGTTTTAAGATATACTCTCCGAAAAGAACTTCCCCACAAAGAAAATTTTATTTTATTAGTTCCCATAACGTTTTAAATAATTTTCTGTTTTGATGAACTTTCTGCGAAGTGTAGTTATATGTTTATCATGTCATCTTATATTATCCTCAAACTCTCTCTGTCTTTATTCCTACAACAGGAATGTAGTGGTCAGGTGATGTGTGAGGTTTGTCTCCATAATTCCCTGTCTTGTGCTTCATGTACAGTGTGTCCCATTTTAGTTGAAATCATAGGGTATCTCCGTTATTAGTGAAGATAGAAGGGTGCGTTTTGCACAAACCTGTCCCACTTTTTCGTCAAACGGAAGATGCTGCAAACAAAATTTTCATAGCCCTCTTCATTTCTGAGCTACAGGGTCTTTTCGAAAATTTTACAATTTGGGACACCCCTCTGTTATTGTTAAAGGTATCGAGAAGGCGAAAACTGCTTATTGTAGAACTTTTTACGTAGAATACAGTGGCGTAGTCTGTTTTTCTACCAAAAAAATATTTTTGAAAATATGAACTAAAGTTATGTTTTTTCAAATGGAACACCCTGTATATTTATAAATCATATGATCTGTCTTGCTATGAGCTTCTCAAAAATATATATCACTCTATATTTATTTTCACTATTTACTGCAATATTTAAAATATATCATTTTCTTATTAGTAGGCCGTGATAAATAACAAAAAATCAAAATGGTATTTACTAAAATAGTCATACACATATTAAAATTTATTTGGGATTGATATATTTTACTTTTGAAATAACTGTTACCACTGAAACTGTGAATATATTTTTCTTTTTTTTTATAACGGGATGGGTTTGCAAATATCTAAATCTTGAATTATTAAAGCATTTTTCAGGTGTTCGACATTATTGTAGTGCCCACGATATATTTCGTATTTCAAAAATCCCCAAAATCAGAAATCGAGAACGGCGAAATCCGGGAATCGAGGAGGCTATCAATATGCGTTCATTGGTTCCAATTCATTGATTTGAAAAATAATAATTTAACAGTATTCTAATATTTCCATAGTTATGACGGGGAATGTTTCCCATCTTGCTGAAAGTATATTTCACGTAAATTAGCTAAAGGAATATCTAAAATTTCCGTTACGATAGATTATTCTTACGTATACACGTATTCCAAGATTTAGAAATAGCGGTAGAGAGTTAAGTTTCCCTAATATATAAAGAATTTATTAGCGGCTCCCAAAATAAAACAAGAGATAGATAGCAGTATACTTTTAATAATTCTTTAGTTTCTTTTATTATCAATCATGGCCTACTAATAAATATGATCTTTTAATAAAAACTTTTAAATATTGCAGTAAATAGTGAAAATAAATATAGAGTGATTTATATTTTTGAGAAGCTTATGGCAAGACAGATCATATGATTTATAAATATACAGGGTGTTCCATTTAAAAAACATAACTTTAGTTCATATTTTCAAAAATATTTTTTGTAGAAAAACAGACTAAGGCACTGTATTCTACGTAAAAAGTTCTACAATAAACAGTTTTCACCTTCTCGATAGCTTTAACAATAACGGAGATACAGGAGGTGTCCCAAATTGCAAATTTTTCAAAAAGACCCTGGAGCTCGGAAACGAAGAGGGCTATGAAAATTTTGTTTACGGCATCTTCCGTTTGACAAAAAAGTGAGACAGGTTTGTGCAAACCGCACCCTTCTATCTTCACTAATAACGGAGATACCGTATGATTTCAACCAAAATGGGACACCCTGTACAAGCGTGTGCAGTGGCTTGTGGGTGATCTTTGATAGCTGGTCTATCCATCGGGAGGGCGAGCGGCCTCTTGGTCTTCTTCCCGGAACCTTGCCCTGTATAATGAGCTTTCCCATACAGTCAGTATCCCTCCTCATAACGTGCCCGAAATATTTAAATATACATATATATATATATATATTTATATATATAAAATATAAGAGAGGCGTTCTGTGATGTTCAGTTCTTGGATTATGGATTCATTGGTTCGTCGGGCAGTCCAGGGAATTCTGAGTATTCGTCGCCAACAGTACATCTCAGTTGCGTCAATTTTTTTCATTTCTGACTGTCTCATCGTCCAGTCCTCAAACTACATCTCAATAAATGAAGACTTGAAGTAAACAATATTCTAAGTGCCGAAATCATTATTTCGAGATAAACAACATTTTTTGTTATATGTATAACCAATGTATAAGAGCGGGCGGTATCTCTGTTGATATTTTTTTTTCAATACAATTTAATAGCCTTGGCACTAAGCACTTTGTATACGGTTCATATCAAATAAAGTTTTAGTTACGTCATCGAGGGCGCGATTTTTAAATTAATTGTTGCCAACCATGGATTCGGCTCCGCGCCGCCGCACAGTGGTTTCGGCAATGAAAAAAAAAACAAAAAAGAGGGTGTTAAATCGGGTTTAAATTATCCTATCTTACATCGAGTTAGTTCAAAGACAATATAATAATATTACTTTTTTAATTTAATTACTAGTTTTGAATGTACAACACCTCCTTTTTGACAATTTTCTTAATATACGAAACGCGCAAAAATAAAGCGAAAACAAGTAATATTTTACAGCCCTTCTTTTAATTCCTAAAAATCGGTATTTCCCAGGAACTGTTTCGTTTATCCATAGGCATTAAAAGTAAAAATCATTTTGCCAAAATATACCGTGCTTT